TGGCAAATCTGTTTGCGGCTAACTCCTGTCTCGACGACTGTAACGCACAGCCACCAACTCTACCTCACTGTGGCTACACGATTTCTGATATTCGTATCAGACAATGCGATGTGCGTACGCAGCTGCAGTCTCTCGACGTCCGGAAAGCTAGTGGTCCTGATGGTATCCCAGCGATTGTACTTAGGAATTGCGCAGCTGAGTTGACTCCCGTGCTAACGCGACTGTATCGTCTGTCGCTCTCTTCAGGTCGTGTGCCGGACTCTTGGAGAGAGGCTAATGTGCAACCAGTTCCCAAAAAAGGCGACCGATCAGACCCGCATAATTACCGTCCCATAGCCATTACTTCCATAATATGCAAGGTTTTAGAGCGGATCCTTAATAAACAACTGACCCAATACCTAGAAGATCACTCCATAATTAATGATCGGCAGTATGGGTTTCGTCCGAAACGATCAACGGGTGACCTTCTAGCGTACTTATCGCATATTTGGGGTGAGGCTATAGACAAACGTGGCGAATCGTTGGCTGTTAGCCTCGATATAGCCAAAGCGTTCGATCGGGTCTGGCACAAAGCTCTTCTCTCCAAGCTCCCGGCGTACGGTTTGCCAGCCCAGTTATGCAGCTGGATTGCCGATTTCCTTCGTGAGCGGAGAATTCGCGTCGCTTCTGACGGCAGCATTTCGAGGTTCGTGAATGTGAACGCCGGCGTACCGCAGGGATCCGTCCTATCTCCCACGCTTTTCCTTCTGCATATCAATGATATGCTTCCACTTGGGAATATTCATTGTTATGCAGATGATAGCACTGTTCATGGGGGATATCATGGATTCCCCGCAGCTGGGCGCGCCGATACTGACAGAGAGCGATCTGATCTTGTCGTTGAGCTCAATAGGATATTGGACCTCATATCTGCATGGGGATCCAGTAATCTTGTTGAGTTCAACGCCAAGAAAACACAGGTTTGCGCGTTAACAACAAAATTGTCGCCGTTCCTTCCCATGCCTTCTCTGATGAGCACAGCACTTTCACCTCGGAGCAGTTTCACCTTGCTCGGTATGGAAATCTGCTGTGATTTGAATCCAAGGAGCTACATCGAATCTGTGATCAAAACAGCCTCACGGAAACTCGGAGTCCTGAACAAGGTGCGACGTTTTTTCACGCCGGACCAGTTATGCCTGCTGTACAAAACACAGGTCCGGTCTTGCGTTGAGTATTGTTCGCACTTGTGGGACGGCTCCGCCAAGTACCTACTCGATGCCTTGGATAAATTACAGCGTCGTGCTACTCGAATTATAGGCGACGAAGAGGTCTCATCACGCCTTGAACCTCTGCAACTGCGTAGAGATGTTGCATCGCTTAGCGCCTTTTACCGCATGTACCATGGTGAGTGCTCTGAGGAGCTGTTCAACCTCATCCCCCCTTCCCCGTTCCTGCTCAGAAGCACGCGTGCTGGCCTTCGTAGTCACCGTTTCACTACCTGCCGCATTCCATCGCGTACTAAAAGGTTCGGTGGCTCCTTTCTCTGCCGCACTGTTGACAAATGGAACTCCCTTCCGGCACATGTCTTCCCTCCCTCTTATGATATGGGGTCCTTCAAACGAGGCGTGAAGAGGCATATTGTAGGCAGGCAGGGTGGAGGCGGCTAGTGCAGTGAGGATTCCATCGCTGCACTAGGTTCCTTCGCGTTTGGATACCACTTTCCACTTAACATCAGGTGGAGTGGAGTCATTTGCCTGTCAGGTATAAAAAAAAAAGAAAAAAAAAAAGAAAAAAAAAAGTTATGTTAAAATTTGACTCTTCAAAATGAAGCAAATAAATGAAAATAGTCTTTGATTCAATGTTTATTTTCGGCACTATTATACGGCGGTATGATATCTAACCATTCTTTTTTCATTTGTAGGTAAACTTGAAATAGTAAAAACAATAATAATAAAATAATAAAAACCTCGTAATGAATAATTTTAATAACAGAATATCGACAAGATCGACAATATGTACGCTTCCAAGAACAACACTTATCTCAAAATAATCATTAACAACAATCATCAAAATATACAAACAAACAGGCAATCTGAAGAAACCAAAACAAAACTTGGCAAGATTTATGAATAAACTACTTAAATATGTCTAATTACATGAGATATTTGGGGTTTTGTGTGATTTATAGACAGAAAAATAACACGTGTCTGTACAATGTTACATTCGTTCGATCTTCGCTTTTTCAAATGCCTGTACTGCTGCAGCGACGAATTTTTATTAATACTTAATTATTCTCACTGTCAATATTTTTGCCCATTTTATTACAATACATATTTAGAATAATTCAATAAAACACTTGGAAAAGCATTTGTTTTGACATTTGATGTACTTCCCTTTGACAACCGCATCATGTACCTCATGTACTGTGAAATGGCCACGCATAGATAAGTGTGGCCACGGTTGGCATTTAAGATGACATTACGTATTTTCGAGTCTCATGTTTGACACAGACCAGTGTAATGCTATCTCTTTTGGCTTAAGACGGCACGCAATATTTAAACAAAGACAATAGCATGTTTATGTTTTCAACGTCGAAGTGCATCATATACATATATGTAACGTCTGATTTATATATGTCAACATAACATGTCCTTTAGGTTTATCCATGACATGGTTGCAGACTGCAGACTTGTTTACGCAACGGTGTTTGACATCAGCCATATGTTCTTTGACGCGGGTACAAATACTTCGCTTCGTTTGTCCAATATAAGAGAGACCGCACTCACAGTGAAGCTTGTAAACTCCTGCATCCTGTAAGGGGATGTTACATTTCACGAGTCTCAGGAACTGAGAAATCTTCCTCAGGGGCTTGAAATAGGTCTTGACAGATGCACTTGACAGATGTCTGAGGACTCTTCGAAATGTCGGTTTGTTTAAAAAAACAAATATACGTGATTTAAATCCGGAAACATAGTTTCATTTCCTATGTGTAACAATCGCGAAAACCTAGGAACACGATACGAAATAAGAAGTAAAATTTTATCTTAATTTTAATCATTCTTGGCAAATTGAATTTGTAACTTGTGACATTTTTATTGTTGTCGTAATTTAATATTGTGGTTGTTTAATATGGGAAACATTTTTTTTCCGTGCTCTAAGACTGGCACTGTTTCTTGTTACATCGTCTGTTATAGCAAATTAAGCAAATAAATGTATTATTAATTCTATATGTGATTTTATGATTATCGATAATATTACTATAAGTAATTTTATTTATTTCAAAAATTAAAAAAAAGTGTTAAAGATCCTACCCTAAGACACCTAAATCAGAATCACTGATATTAATTTTATACCAATGCATAAATACAAAACAGCTTGCACTATTTGGAAAACTTTTAAAAATATCTTTGTAATATCAATCTTGAGATTGGAAATACGTAAGGATCTCCAAATTTAGATTACCATTTATTTTTCTTTTTTTAATATACTCTCAAATTACATTTTTTTCGGTGCAAATTCACTTTTCGTAATATGTGAGCATTTATAAATGCAAAATAATAACTTCAAAATCTCTATGACATTTTCGGATATTCCCATATTTATGACATAAAACATTCCCAAACGGAATATTGACACACTTTAATCAAACTTTTAATATTCATACTTTGATTACAGTAAACTACACAAATTACAAACTTAGAAAACGGTTTCAACATTCAAGCCATACATTTGCATGTCGATTATTGACATATCTATGATTATGGTACAACACTAAATCCGCCATACGTGTGGTACAATTTTGGTTTTGTTTATTCCGTAGATATGGAAGCTCCTTTCCTTTCTTTTTTTCCATCCTCTTAAGTCCACACCCATTTTATTTGTAAGTCAATGTCCACACCCAATGCTTTCCGTGGTAGCTACTGCTACTTCTTTTTTCAATAGGTCTTTGCCATGTTGCTACATGACCCTTTCTTTTCAGCTGTTTCCTGTATCCCATTCCACCTTTAAGGTCTGCTGTGCCATTGTTTAAAAGTTTCACTCCTGGTCACGTATCTATTGAGATACGATACCAGGAGTGAAACTGGTCTCAAGTGTAGATGCAGGAGAATTTCGAGTACTAAAAACCTTATCTTGTCATTCGGGACTCTGGCAAGATGGACAGATTTTTTCACAATTTAATAAACTAGAGTTGACAATAAAGCTAAGGGTAAGGGTAATGGTGAAATTACCTTAGACTAATCCTCTAAGGAAATTACAGGTACATGAGACTTGTCAACTTACATCTCAGAGTGACAGGCGCAGTGGCGAAGTCCCTCACAAGCTTTGGGTGGCACTGCAACTCGTATGAACAGGCATGTCACTTAACACCAGGCTCATGACTTTTTCATCCCGTCTCTTGGTATCATAAAAAAAGAACGTTCGAAAACACATATGGTTAATACCTAGCTTTTAAGATATTATGTTAACAAATAAATTTATATAAGAACATTATGGCATATCTTTGCTAGATTTTTTACTTAGAAAATCTCTTAGGTATGGTAAAATGAAATTATATTACCATATCCCGGGGTCTTGTAACATATTGTTTTAATCGATATGTGTATATGATATGATCCGAGTTTACTTTGGTAGTTCTCTATTATCATAAAATTTACATTACAAATTATTTTAAGTTACTCGATTCTGTGATATATATCTTTTTCAAATCGATACAACAAAACAAAAAAATGAACATTATACCTACAATTTTTTTTAAGTTTAGGGTGGAAAGAAGGTAAAGGAAGTTTCGGTTTAGGTTTGAAACAGTAGAAGTTTAGGTTTGAAACTTCAAACCGCCAAGTGTCGGAAACAAGAAGAAAGAAAGATCATCGACCTATGGATAAAACAATACTACTTCATATTTTGACATTGTCTTCATTCATATCTTTTGAAATCATGAGGAACATTTTCTTTTACTTTGATAGTAATATTTTTTCATTCTTCATTATTTACTAAGTTCTACGTTTTGTATTTTTACATTTTTTATTGCATATAAGAAACAATTACAATGTGTTGTAACCCTTTTTTTGACGTCGGATGCGGCCACGCTGTAGCTAGTGGCATATACCAAGCACAAAGGTAAGTATTTATACTTTCTGGGTTTACCTTAAAGATCTGTCCAACGTTCAATCAATCGGACAGTTCACCTGGAGGATTATAGTAGTTAACAGTTAAGAATCTTCAGTATGGCAAAAGATCTTGAAGTCTCCTGTGTTTGTGATTGCTCTGACTTCCCCTACCCTGTAATCCAAAATAGTACCTAAACTAAACTAATAGAACATAATTATATGTGTCATAGTATACGTGAGACTATATTTTGCTATTCTCATGTTTATTTAAACCCATGGCCACCTACACGTGTGCAAGTCGCGGTGTCTGTTCGTATCTCTCGGTCAGCGTGACGATGAATTTCAAACAGTGGGTCACTTTATTCGAAATATATCGTTCCTAAAACCTAAGAACTCGATATATATTACTCCTGTTTTGTTCCCTCATACCGTGCATGTAGAATTTTTGTTTATGTGGTGTTTTGGACAGACTGGCGTTATGCTGTGCGGCAGCAGCGATTGCGGCGTGTCTTTTAGTCACACTATTAATCATTGGGGGCGTAGGCGTAGGTGTTGGCTACCATTACTGTGTCGTCGAGTCCAAAACCTATGAATTAGGTGAGTGATGGCAAATATTATAAATAAACTTATAATATATAATTATAAACTTTCCTTAAGGTTTAGACGCCTCAACATATTTAATGTAAACGAATCTAAAGTTACCCTTTCGAAGTCGTTGATAAAAATTAACCATACGTATTATATTTATATGCAAACATAGAAAATTGTGACAACCTAATTAGTAGTAGAGAGGAGTGGTTACTCGTAATATATAATAATAAATAACAAGTTTATAATAATAAGATTATAAGCTTGTGGCGGTGAAGGAATAATAACAATGATTGTGAAGAGCCTGTATGTCGAAGAAAGGCGTGTGACGAAGTGTCCCGACCTTGCATTGAGATATCGCTTTGTAGGCTATAGTCAGTATAGGACCTACGATTTTTAACCGACTTAAAAAAAGGAGGTTATACGTTCGGCTGTATGTATGTTGTCCGATTTCTCTGGCAATTGTGGGCCGATTTTGAAAATTCTTTTTTGTTTGAAAGGGTATACTCTCAAGGTGGTTCCATTGTCACCAAGTCAGAATCTGATGACGGGATCTCATGGAAATCCTACGAAATCCTCTAATTTTAGAAGCACGTACAGGGTATTCAACGATTTCTCAAAATCAACCATGAATGTGGATAGATTGATGAATAGTTATTATAATACTGTGTACAAAACGAAATGAGACAAAAATAAATAAAAATAATTACATGCACTCGATGTCGTTTGGATTAAATATCAATTTTATTATTTTTCGCTTTTTAGAGTACTGTTTGTTGTTTTTAAATTTGTTTTATTTAAGTTTGTTTATTTCGTACTGCCTCTGAAACTTTATAGTGCCCCGGGACGTAATCGCAACACAAACGTAATCGCACGTTAGATATAGCAATAATATACAACAACAGTTTAGACAGATGCTCGATTTTTTTACTACCTGTCTGAAATACCACTCTATAATCTTGCATTAAACATTTCCCTGAGGTACCTGCTTACTGTTTTAGGGGCAGCAACCGAAAGCATCATATAATGAGTTATAGAATACGTAAGAATAATGCATTGCGTGATCGGTTGTTGTAATAATGACTACCTCTAGTCACAACCCTCTCATTAGAAAAGCTCGAAGCTCCAGGTCCAGCAATAGGACATTACAATTTTGGAAAAAATAATAACATAATAATAATTATTATTTATTTCATTCGTTTAAGTACGCGTACAGTAAAATCAAAAACTTATTTCTATGATTGTACGTGCTACTTATATAAAATGTTTAAAACTCTCGAATCCCAAACTAAGCGACAGCTTGTATTTTGGGATTTAGAAAACTAATTAAAGCTGTAGTAAAATTAGCTATCTCAACGCAAGGTTGATTATTTGGAAACAAACCAGTTGGATAACATCACGTCTTTAAAAAAAATATAAGATTTTTTTTACTATTAGGTATATGTTGTATGTATACATATACATTTATTGACATAACGCCTTTTTTGCCGCACAGATCTGCAAACTTTCAGAAAAAAATATACGCAACCTAGTGGTAAGTTTACTGCTACTACTCCTACGGGTACTACTACTACTATTTATACTACTTTTACTGATACTACTCCTACGAAAAATACTCCTACTCATACTACTTCTATAAAGACTACTCCTACGCCTACTAACACTGACATTGATTTTATTGATATGACTTATACTGATACTACTCCTACTGCACCTACTCCTACTGCACCTACTCCTACTGCACCT